CAGAACATGTGTGTGCGTGGGAGTCACTTAATTATATCATACATTATTAACAGTTATTACTTATTAAATACAAAGTACACTATTAGTTCTTTAGCATTACTACAATAATATACAAACATTCATGTACACTTACTTACCACATACACACACATACATTATACACATTCATCATACATATGTATGTGTATATGTGTGTACATTATTATTTATACATACACATCATGCGTAGACACACATCACTATCACATGATACACACGCACACACACACAGAGAGAGACAAACTCATGAATGGATACACACACCATCACACACACCACACCTGTACACATGAAGGAGAGGTCCAGGGGGTGTCCTAGTTTGAAGATTACTAATCTATTCTGGTACATGTCAGTTATGATTGTTAATGAATAATTATACTAAACTCATGGAACATTGTATGTGGGTAATTTCTGACTCATGTGATACAGAACTTTATTAAAAATGATAATAAATAACATGAACCTACACACACACACACACACTCATGTCACATTAGCTTATGTATAGATACATGTACATATACAAACATCACACACACACAGATACATGATAATACTCACACACACATAACATGCACATTATAGATACACGTCACATACACACGTCATACATTCATAAATTCTCACATACATTATCAGTGGTTGAGAATCTGGGAGGCAGGGGGGCTGGAGCATTTGAGCAGAGCCCCTCATGCTTTTGATATAGGAGCACTGCCCCCACTTTTAATAATTGCTTATTAAACCTGTAGTTATTAACTCAACCCAATTTATTAAATATTATTAGTGTTAACAGCTGCCTCAATTGATAACTTAGACTTAGTATTAATTGCTAAGGAGTATATTAGTGTAACTGATGAACGCACTAAGTTCTTTGGATCATTTTAAATATAATTAAATTAACGAATGTACATTGGTTTTAAAAATGAGCCCTCCCACTTTTAGATTGGTGTCTCAACCACTGATTATATGCACTATCATACACAGACACATCATAATGTATGTATTAGTACACACACACACGTCACATATAGACACACGTCACCATCACACACAAACACATGACACACAGAGACACACTAACAAACACACTTAATTATTATATAGGCAGTAGCCTATATGTAGGATTGAGGTTGGTTTTTCAAGATGGCGGCTGTTTTTATGATTTCCAAACACTTATATTAACTCTTTTATCTTATGTTGTACAGCCTTATAAATGGCTTAGATGAGCTCTCCTTCACTGAGCAATTCTCCTGGTACCTTTAAAGTGGACTGTAACGTAGCGGGAGCTTTTCTGGAAAATACTGAGGCCCAAATTCAAATTTCTGCAAAATTCTTCAGACTTTTTCTTCAAGTTCTTTCAACTTCTTCTATCAACACTGAAATCTTTTAAACTAGAAAACTGTTCAAGTTGGCTTTTACACCAATCTTTTGTGCTTGGGTCAAGGACCATAAATGACTCTTCAAAAGAAGCAAGACAGAGAACAGATTAAAGACAAAATCCAGCTGCAGACACCTCGTGGGTTTGTGGTTTGACGCCATTTTAATTTATGAGCACGTGATCAGCATGAATATAATTAACTTAACCACAAAATGTAAATAATTTATTTAAGAAAAAAGATGGGAAACAAGAAATAAAAAACAT